TTTGACCTCAGGAACCCAGGACAGATGCCCCAGGTAGTGGCGAGGCTATAGTGGAGACTGGCTTTTTAAAGTGTTTCCATCTTCTGCCAGCTCTCTTATTTGGATCCAGCTGCCTCAGCTGTTTTGTCTAGATGCTTTCAGTGAAGCATTGAGAAAGCTTAGATGCTGTACTGCTCATAGTTAATGTGGAGTAGGGGATCCTATTGTCTGCAAATGGCTGGCACTTCAGGCCAGGTTGGCTCAGCTGCTTTTGAAGAGGTGCTGAACAACTGTGGAACTAGAGGAAGGGAGCCTTGTGGGACTCCACTAACAGCCTTCAGGGTTCAGACAGAAAAGTTCTTGATCTACTGAGGACATTTTGACCCCATTGTTCTAGGAGATTGGATGGGGGTACTAGGATATCAGTGAGGAAACTTCTTGTCAGCTGTCAGAGAAAATCATTCCAATTCATTCCAATTCAAACTGTAGTAGCAAAGTGAGATCAGTAGGGGTTGGAAGGCTGAGACCTCACTCAAGTCTAAGCTTTGTAGCTGACTGAGATTTTGGACCAGTTGACAAAACCAAAGATAGTTTTGATCCCTGTGATAGTAGATGTAAGTTTGCCCTCTAGCTGGATAATTTTGCAAGATGACCATGATGACTAAGGTGTATTGGGGCAAAAAATTACAATCTTTCTTCTACCAATGATTAGTCTTGCATTACTGCTGATCGTTGCAATTATTCCTGGGTTATACTGAGACTTTCAGTCTCTAGGATCTGTCACCTTGCTGCCCAACATGGTTAACTTTTGCATCCAGGAATTTTAAATTGACTAGAGTCCACCTTTCTTTATAGATATTAGATGAGAAACTTTCATGATAGACTCTCATCTGGTTGGCCATCAGGTGATCCAAGTCCTGGATCAGTAGGTGTTTCATGCTTCTGAAGTCTGGTCAGAAGCTAAGGACTGCCTTTCAGTGTTGAAGTCTCAAATAGAGACCTCAAAATAGAGACCTGCCTATTGACCCCTTCTAGCAACCCTGTTACCTGTCCTAAGGGTCCACTTCTGACTCCCACTGTAGGTTAGACACACCTTTCCCAGAATTTCACTGAAGACGGAATAACTCTTCAGACAAAACCTGGCAAATAGGCTTTGTAAAAGGTTCTAAACATTGCTTTTGATATGAAAAAATAATACAAGACTTTAGAGTCTGTTGGAAAACAAATGCCTCTTAAATGCAATGCAACATCTTTCTATCTAGCTCCCATTCCCCTTGGCAGACCCAGGGTATGGGTATCTAGCTCTGTTTAGGAAGGCAGGCAGCTCATGATTTTACTTGTCTAGCTCCAGTTGGTTCTGCAGCCTTTACAAAATCTAACTTTTTTTTGGCAAATATATATAGGACAAACAGCACAGTTTTAGTAAAAGTAACGTGAGAGATGTGCATGCGTGCATATGTGTGTGTGTGTTTACTTTTACCAAAACTGTCCTGTAATCACTGTGGCTCTCTTGGCAGTCCAAAACACATCATTGCTATTACATCGCCATACACATTCCTATCACAATATCTGCACTGTGCTTTTCTGTGTCCACGTGACCATCATCCTTGCCCATCAAAAAGATATGCAGCCTTTCCCTACACCCTCAGCTAGGTCCCTTTCTGACCATGTTTCTGTGTGCCTCTATTTCCACAAGACCTGTTTATACCTTTCTTGTCATCTCTTTATTTATACTGTTGGTCCCTTCTCCCTGCTTTAAACTCAAGCTGCCAATAGGTACAGCCTGCCAGCCTGGTTTTTGTAAGCCTCTGGTAGTCCACTGTTGTAAGCATTTCTAGTGCAATAGCCACTCACTAAGATTTGATGACCAATCATTGTCTGAAGTCTAGAGGGTGCATGCGAGAGGCCTTGCAAATGAGGTCATCCCATAATGACAGGAATATTCAGGACACAGCAATGTCTGTGGTTACAGCTACATAAGAACTCAGTTCAGCCAAGGTGAGGACCTGGTACAAGGTTTTCTTAGAAAGTTTATAATGTTTTGACAATCTCTCAGCTAGAGTTTAGAGAGGCTTGCAAAAAACACTATCACATCTAGAAGCTATGCTGGGAGTATGAGTAGGGATGGAAGTAATTTAGACCTTATCTTGATTTATCATTTACTAAAACATTTTTAAAAAAATCAATATAACATTTGAATATGAAATATTGCTGAACTGCTTCTTTTAAACATCTCGTTTCTTTAAGGACACTCTTGGGAAACCCCCAGCTAAGGAAATTCCACTGGTTGATCACTGCAAATACAAGTGAGGTTTTGATCACTACATCCGTTCAAGGGCTACTATTTGTGTTGCTAATCTTATTTGTTCTAGTATAATGTTTGATTTTTAAGGCCCTGGTCTTGCAGCTGATTCTATTCAGACAGGCAGACCCATGCATTAGTTGTGTGGAGTCACTTGAAGGTTTGGGAGCTGTGTTTGGCCCCTTTAAAGTCAGATTCAGGATCCTGGCATGGCTGGAACGTGAATGAGAATTGAAGTTTTTTGTAGGAAATAAGTACAGAAGTCTTTCTTAGATCCCAAATCACAAATAAATGTGTGTATTGATTGAAAATGCTCCACTAGAACCTATCAACAGTTGTTGGTGACACCAGATCCTTTTTTGTGATCTTCCATTCAATTTGTCATAGCCATCATGTTTCTATTGCATTAATATAATCATCATGCTTGCCAATGTTCTGTTGACCTTTTTCCCTGCCAGACAGTGGAAAACCTACCAGTCCTGATCTGGCTCCCACTGTTGGGAGTTTGGGGTGAGATGTGCCCTTCAGCTTAGCCTCATCTAAGTGAGACCCCACTGGCTGTTACACTGAAGGCAGGGGAGGGGAGACAGAAAATGCAGAGTAGTTATTTATAGCCTAGGCTCCACAAGGTTTTAACTTGGAGTAAAGGCACAGAGCATGTTACCAGAGCAGACAAGAATTTTACAAACCTTAAAAATGTCT